TTTGTAATATAGCAGCCTGAATGAGACTAAGACACAAATCAAATGGAGAACTTTTGCATCAAAATGGCAACAATTTCTTTCTATATGTCTGTTTCATAGGCTCTCTGTTACATATTGACAGTTTTCCAGAGAACAGGACAGGTTTTAATAAGAGTGAGACTAGGCCGAAACCGGTTTGGCTCAGTGGATAGAGCGTCGGCCTGCGGACTGAAAGGTCCCAGGTTCGATTCCGGTCAAGGGCATGTACCTGGGTTGCGGGCACATCCCCAGTAGGAGATGTGCAGGAGGCAGCTGATCGATGTTTCTCTCTCATCGATGTTTCTAAATCTCTATCTCTCTCCCTTCCTCTCTGTAAAAAATCAATAAAATATATTTAAAAAAAAAAAAAAAAGAGTGAGACTAGGCACTTCACACATGCACTTATTGAACTTTTATTATTATTTTTTTTTTGTAGAGAGGAAGGGAAAGAAATAGAGAGTTATAAACATTGATTAAGCTGCCTCCTGCACACTCCCCACTGGAATGTGCCCACAACCAAGGTACATGCCCTTGACCAGAATTGAACCTGGGACCCTTCAGTACACAGGCTGACACTCTATCCACTGAGCCAAGCCAGTTAGGGCGAACTTTTATTTTTTTGTTTTATTATTTTTTAAAAATATATTTTAAATATGTTTTTTATTGATTTTTTTTACAGAGAGGAAAGGAGAGGGATAGAGAGTTAGAAACATCAATGAGAGAGAAATATCAATCAGCTGCCTCCTGCCAACTCCCTACTGGGTATGTGCCCGCAAACAAGGTACATGCCCTTGACTGGAATGGAACTGGAACCCTTGAGTCTGCAGGCCAATGCTCTATCCACTGAGCCAAACCGGTCAGGGCTTAAAATATATTTTATTGATTTTTTTACAGAGAGGGATAGAGAGAAACATCGATCAGTTGCTTCCTGCACACCTCCTACTGGGGATGTGGCCGAAGCCAAGGTACATGCCCTTGACCGGAATCGAACCTGGAACCTTTCTGCAGGCTGACGCTCTATCCACTGAGCCAAACCGGTCAGGGCTAACAACTAGAGGTAAGGATAGTAGGACAAACTGCTTAACTTGTCCAAGATCAACCCAGCCAGGGGCAGGGCTGGATTCTCACCTAGGTCAACTGGACCCCTAGAAGGTGAAGTCAGTGCCACTCAGAACCCCCTTAAAAAATACCCAGCAATTATGCCCAGCCAGTGTAGTTCAGTGGTTGAGCATCGACCCATGAACCAGGTGGTCACGGGTTCAAATCCTGGTCAAGGCATATGCCTAGGCTGCAGGCTTCTCTCTCATCAATGTCTCTCTCTCTCTGTCTCTGTCTCTGTCTCTTACCACCTTCTCTCTGAAATAACACACGCGCGCGCGCACACACACGCACACATATATTTTTTAATATATTTTTACTGATTTCAGAGAGGAAGGGAGAGAAAAACATCAATGATGAAAGAGAATCCTTGATTGGCCACCTCCTGCACGCCCCTCACTGGAGATAAAGCCCGAAACCTGGGCATGTGCCCTTGACTGGGATCGAACCCAGGATCCCTTCAGGCCGATACTCTATCCACTGAGCCAAACTGGCTAGGGCAATAAAAACATATTTTTAAAAAAATGCCTAGCAACTTCCATGACAGCCAAGGATACATATAGGAACTTGTGCAGACAGTGCCCATAGGAACATAAATTGGCACAGTCTTTCTGGAAAATAAGTTGATCATATATACAAATGCTCCTCAACTTATAGTGGGTTACCTTCTTTTTTCCAAACTGACTGGGCTATATATAATGTGTTACCTTTTTTTAAAAAATATATTTTTCTTTTTTATTTCAGAGAGGAATGAAGAGGGAGAGAGAGAAACACCAATGATGAGAGAGAATCATTGATCGGCTGCTTCTTGCATGCCCCCTACTGGGGGTTGAACCTGCAACCCGAACATGTGCCCTTGACTGGAACCGAACCCAGGACCTTTCGGTCCGCAGGCCAACGTGCTATCCACTGAGCCAAACCGGCCAGGGCATGTGCTACCTTTTACTAGTAATAAACCATCACAATTTGAAAATATTGTAAATTGAAAATGTGTTTAACCTACAGAACATCCCAGCTTTGCCTACATTTCTGCTGCATGCATGTTACTTTTGCACCATTGTAAAGTTGAAAAAATTGTAAACTTATCCGGACTGGGGTGGCTCAGTGGTAATCTTAAATCAGAGACTGTCTGTACAGCCCTACAGATGGCCCCTTCCTTATATATAAACCTGACCCTAATGAAATATATAATATAGGATATTATATAATTCTTAAGATCAGAATCTAAAAAAGATACACTGAGTTTCCCACATTATTTTTAAAATGGAAAAACATTAATAATCTAAATGGCCAATATGAAAAGAATGATTAAATAAATGATCATATAAATATTATGGGATATGATACAGTTATTTTAAAAGTATGAAATAATTATGAAGTTATCTAATGGCCCATTAAAGAATGTACATAAAAAAGCTGGAAGGCCCTAGCTTGTTTGGCTCAGTGGATAAAGCATCAATCTGCAGACTGAAGGGTCCCGGGTTTGATTCCAGTCAAGGGCACATGCCTGGAACATTTCTAGGGTACCATGCCTTTATCAGCCTGGCCTGCTTTCATCCCAGCTGGTTAGACTCCAGGTGAGTTTAGTAGAAGAGTCCCCCTACTGACCCAGCTCCTACCTCACCATAGGAAGATCTGAGGCCCAGGTATGAAGTACTAACGGGGACCCTGGAGTAATGAGTTGCAAATTGTGTCCTTGAAACTCTCCTCACACCAATCCAGGGGCCCTGGGCAATGATTACAGGAAGACGTGAGGGAGGAATGGGAAGAGGTAGCATGAGCAAGGGTGAAGGCAGCCCTGGTCATGGTCTACTATCTCTGGGCACAGCTTCCCTAAATGGAAAGTGAGGCTTGGCCTGGACACTCACCAGAGCCTTGGCTCAAGCACACTGGGATTCTACCAGCCAGTCACCACCTTGGGCTTAATGAGACTATAGCCCATTCCACAGGCTCTGCTAACATGACACCAGAGGAAGGCTTTGGTGTACACTGGGTCAGAGTCGGCCTGACAACCACCTACTCTTGGAGCTAGCCTTCAGTCTCTCAGGCCATGGAGCTCACAGGGTAGATAGTCTAAGCCTGACTGCTCAACGGCATCCCATTCATTCTGATCAGTTTTCAAATGATGCAGACGACATGTTTACTCCTTAAATTAGTAGGTGGTCAGATGGTCCTGGCTATCCTTCCACTCAGCACATGCCAGGTCCCCATGGCAGGGCAGGGCTGGGGTTACCAGCTGACCCTCCCCAGTCAGGAGCTTCTCCACTGTACCTGTACCCTATACCATCAGCACCATAACCTGTACCCTGAGCACCATCACCTCCAACCCTGGAGAAATTTAAAAGACTCCATCTTTCCAATCAGAGTGCAACCTCCCAGATTAAAAATTTCTGAATGTGTACTAGAAGACTACAAAGTATATATTTCCCTACTTATCCAAATGATTATGAAAATAAATTACAAATCCAATATTTGCCATTCAAGTTCCAGGGACTTTAAAAGAAGTCATGATCTGCACCAGCATCAAGAAGAAGGCATCTATAGTAAGCATGCTTTATGTTCCGCTTTAACAAAGTAGCCAATCTGCCCAGAAAGAAAGATTTTATACAACAATGCAGGGTAGAGCTAGGCACAAGGAAAGGGCCTGAGGCTTAAATGGTGAAAGTGGAGAAGAAAAGAGAAGGAGGGTGGATGCAGAAGAACAGGAAGGAAAGGGAGCACACTGAAAGGTCTCAGTTGTGAACAGGGAGACTAGAAGGTTGACAATGTCAAGTTAGGCTGCTTCCTGGACAGAGGGTGAGGCTCTGGGGAGAAGGCAGGAATGGAGGCAGAGATGGGCTCCTTCACTACAAATAACCTAGTAACCAACGATGCTGGAAGAAACGGATCCCCAGAAACAAAACAGAATGAGAGAAAGGCGAGAGACTAAATTAGGTTTATGTCTAAGAGTGAAGAGGAAGCAGCAGGACAGAAGCAAACAGCACACTCAGGAGGCAAGTGGGGTACACGGCTCCAGGGCTGCAGAGCCAGAGGTGTGAGGACTGAGGGGAGCCTGTGTGCTTGGTGTGAAGCAGCTTCAGGAGGGTGGAAGAAACTGGGATCACAGACTGGAGTTAGTACAGAACAAGTCTCTTTGACGGGTAAGGAGCTGAAAGGATGGAGAAAGAGCAGACACTAAACCAAGAAGGTAGTAAGGTCACAGGAAAGCTGCTCTTAGGAGGAGGTCGGAGCCTATCTGAAGGCAGAAGTCAGTCAAACAGGGAGCTGGAATCAATGGGGGCAGACACTGGGGAATGAGTTGCCAACTGCGTCCTTGAAACTCTCCTCACACCAATCCCGGTTCCTCACTTCTAGTTGTCCTAAGAGATACTGGTGAGGGGAACAGGTGAGCCTCGAAGCAAAGGGATTTGAGACAAATGGGAGGCACACACTGGAGGGTACCAGGAATAAAGCCTGGAACACAAGTGTACAGAGGGTTAGAGACACAGATGAGGGTTAGGGCTCAGGCAGGAAAGCACAGAGAAGATCTAGATGGGAACACCCGCCATCTCCCAAAAGAGGTCAGAGAAGGTGGCTGTCTAGCCACATGAGGTCAGGCCCAGAGAAGCCAGGGAAGATAGGAGCACAGACACGCACACTCTACTTCTTTCCCGGGTTGGTAACAACAGACCTGGAAAGCTCGGGACACCCAGAATGTTACAAAACCAGCGCAAAGTTGGGATTCTACTCAGGAACCCAAGGCTATAGTCCCTACCTTAGTACCCGCCGCTGTGCATCTGTTGGTTGCCTATACTAAGTCTCCTTAGGAGTTAGAGAGACAAGCCCAACAGCACACACATCACCTGGAGAAGAATCTGATAAGAAGTGAAGTGTTCAATACTCACAGGAACAATAAGCCCTTGCCAAGTCAATAAATTAGCTTCATCAACCTGGATGTTACGGAAGTTTTTCATTCCACATTTGCGGATTTCTTCAAGCTCCTGTTGATTGACAAAGCATAAATGGGTGTCAAACAGAGGAAAGCACCACATATTATGACTCCCTCAAATTAAAAACTGAGTGCCAGCACCACCAATGATAACATTTCACTGTGGACTAGATCATGCCTGGTCTGGTTAAGAGGCCCAGAGCCATGGTGGTCCCCTCAACCCATGCCCCAGACCAAGACAAGTCCCACCTTGGTAAACCCACAGTACTCAACAGGGTAAGTGACTGTGCTCCTACGAAAGCACTGCCTCCTCTCTGGGCTGTCACCACACAACAGGGGCACAAGAAAGGTACTACAGACCTGATTTCTAAACGAGATTTATTAAGCACTGACTATGTGTCAGACGGCGAGGATATAAAGGTGAATAAAGTGGGACCAGGAGAACACACATACCCACAAAGTTTTCTACCCAACGCTGTAAGTGCGATTTCAGGGCTCCACCTCAGCATGGGCACACAGCGAAGAGAACAACTATCCAGTCTGGGATGGGAGGGGGACAGAAAACCTTCACTGAGCCTCGGTTTCCTCAGCTGCAAAACAGGGATAGCAAGACCCAGAGCTGTAGACAGTGAAGGGGAAACCACGTTGTAAGCAACAGAACCCCTTGCAAATATCAGGGATTATTATTATACAGTCATCGCAGCCAACACCATCTCATCCGGAAAGAATGACCACCCTGACTACTTCAAGGCCCTGCCTGACATGTGTTTGGTCTAGAATTGTCTATCAACTGTGCACCAACCAGACATTTCCCGCTGTTTTCCCAATAACTCAAGTGAACATCCAGTAGGTGTTATAGCCCAGCGTCCTCCATTCTCAGATACCTGGAGTGATGTGCTGCCCCCCAACTCCCCAATCTGGCCACTCATCCATGGCACAACAGCCTCCTCTACATCTTTTGAGTGCCTTCCCTTCTACAATCCCGGAGCACCACCCAGCTGAGCCCGCCTCCTCTGCTGCACTGGAAGGACAGCCTACTCACTGGTCTGGCTTCCTCCTTGGTGGTCCAACCTGTGAACCCCACCAGACCTGGAAGGAACCTCCTTGTTTTGGTGCTCTGGCTCACAATGGCATGGAGGCTCTGAATGAGTCCCCACATCAAATCCAAAAGGTACCTATACCCCCTATTCCGATCACACAGCTGACAGTTTACAAGGCACCCTAAGGACACAATTCCCAAAGAAGGGCAACTGAGCCAGTGCTACAGGTTCTAGGTTGGAGGATGTGCGATGCCTGGCATGGAGTGGGCTGAGAAAGACAGCATGTCGAATGAACATGCAAGAGACAGGGGGCCACAGTGGCACCTCAGGGCAGATGACAAGCCCAAATTTCTTCCCACAGGGTCCTGCTGCTTGTTCAACCTTAGCTACCCACTACAACTGTCTAGGTCTGGGCCCCAGCCTGGAAAATTCTGGTCCAGCAAGTGTAGGGTGGTGAAGTTTGAAACGGATTTTAAATAAGCTATAGTGGACGAGAGCCACTGCCACTGAGAGACTGAATTCCATGTCTAAGCAATGTGCAGCTTCAGTGAGGGAAGATGCTAGCGGCAATGGCTGTGACCCCTGCAGTAGAGGAAGGGGTGGCCTGGACCCTTTTCTTGAGCCTGAAGGAGGGAAAGCATGGAACCTGACAGACCACTTGCTAACTAGTCCTCCTACTAATGCCTGGGACTCATCAGAAATGCTCACCTGGGAATTATGCAGTCTGGGCAGATTAAGGAAGGGGAAAAGATTGCACACCCACACGACCACCTTGGCCCACTCGTCTCTAAACAGAACGTAAGCTCTGTGAGGACAGGTGTGAGGACAGGAATCAGGAAACCTCAGAAGCCCCAACACTTCAGGATAGTGAATAGGTGGGAAGCTGGGGCTTGGGGAAGAAAAGGGGGCTCTGGAATGGGAAGGGATCTCTATGTATTTTGATTTTCTGGTACTTGGCTCAAGATATTAGAGTTAAGATGCATGGCTAGAGACAAAAGATATCATGTCCTTAAGGGCCAAGTCCTACCCAGCTATCAAAAATGTAGACAGGAAAAAATTTCAGATAGAACTTCAAAATTAGACAATCAAAACCGAAGAAACAACAGGAGAATATATTCAATATCCATGGGACAAAATACATTTTAAAATATGAAACTATATTTTATGACTTCAGAAATCCATATACTAACAACATGAAGTATGGATGATAAATATAAGAATGTAAATTTCAAAAGAATTACAAAAATATGCCAAGATGGGGGTCAACTGCAATATAGCAGTGAAAAACTGAATCTTATATAAAAAAAAGGAAAACAACAACAAAAGAAAAATTGCATCTTGTTCAAGAGAAAGGGAGGAACAAGAGAGCACTGTGCATAGGGGTGAGGAAAAGCACCCATTGGTGCTTTGATAGCAAGAGATACATGAACAAAGACTAAAGTCATACTGTGGCAGGAGGAGGCCACACACCTCCTGGCCAACGAAAAGGCAGCCCCAATGGTGGCAGGGCTGGGAGGCTCAGGGAATCCAAAGTGCACGTACCAGAAATACATTCAACTTACCTTGCTCTCAAGTTAACCTCACCAAGACGGAAGAGGCAACATCCTTTGCATAATTCTAACCAACAAGGAAGTACTAATTATAAGACAGAAGTGAAAGAAACCAAGACAAACAAACAAGCAAGTCCGTCCCTAATCTCCAGGGGACACTGGGCAGCCCCCTAGGACAGTGTTTCTCACCAGGGTGGTGCCAGCATCCAGCAGAACTCAGCACTTGAGCATCCCAGCCCCGCCCATTAGATGCCAGACATTGTGATACCACCCCACCCTGATTTCCCAATGTCCTGAAGAGTCCAGTTGCTGAGAACCATTGGCACTACCAGGGGCCAGGTTGCTAAAAGTCCTGCATTGCACAAGATGATCGTGCAGACAAGAACTATTCAACCCAAAATGCCAATAACACCTCCACTGAGGAGAACAACTTAGAGAAGATGGATTCAAGTCATTCAGAGAAAAGATAGATTCATCTGAAGGTATGAAACTCGAAAAGGCAAGATGACTCAAGAGTACTGACAGAGCCTCAAGCAAAGCTGCACCCCTGTACTGAGAATGAGCCTGAGAATGAAGAACTGGGGAAGGAATATAATGAAACCAATGCAAACTCAGAGTTCAAATTTCAAATGATAGATGAAAGGACCCAACAAAGAAAAAGTGTGAGAGAGGGCACTCCAGAAGAACAAAGTCAGGAAAGCTATAGCCAAGAATGACAGAAACTTTACAAAATATGCCCCACAAAGGTTTGTTTCAGTTCTGCTCAGAGCAAGAGGCAGTCCCGTCAGCTGCTCGGGGCTGACAAACCAAGAGCTCAAAGGAAAGCAGAACCAGGCAACTCACACCTTCCTTCTCCCCGTGGGGGTAAGCAGGCTGCCCAGCCAGGTTAAGTGATGAGGGAGGAAGAGCAATGCTTCTCACAATGAGGTCCATCTCTGAGCCCACATGTGTGTATTGCAGGACGTGAAAAAGAGCCTGGGTGTGCTTATCAGCTCTTCAAAGGGGAAAAGCTCATTCCCCACAAACTGCAGCTCAGAGAGCTTGATGCTCACTCCAGGTCAAAGTGTGGCATGCAGCAGAGAAGAGCCACTGCCTAACAGCTCTGCAGGAACCAACAGGGAGGTGGCCTTGGCCCCAGCAGGAGTGCACTGCTCCAAGTGCACAAAAGGCTCAGCTCAAACAGTGAGAGACAGGGTACAGTTGTACACAGTAAGCACTCTGTCACACAACTCAAATGTGTGCAACCAAGTTTGGGCAAAGTATAGTTTGTGGCTGCGGTCCTCTTTAAGAAATCCAGACAGAGGAAAAATCAGCTGTGCAAGTCAGGGCTGCTTCAGATGTCTTATCACTACTCTGGACCAGCAGGTCTCAAGGTAGGGGGTGATTGTAGTTTTCAAAAGCATATTCCTTATCATCCTGTAATTTTCATTTGCAAAGTAGGAAAAGGTGCTCTGTGCCCCAAGAGAACTACAGGAAGTAAAGCTGAATGCCATCTTCTTGGCTGTTGAGGCTGGACTGAGAGAGAAGCGCTGCTCTGTAGAAGCCTGCAGGTAAGAGCCTGGGTGGCACAGCAGGCAACAGCAGAGGGTAACAGCTTCATAGAAGAGAAGCTCTGAGATGGGCCTTGAATGATGGGAGAAGCCAAACTTCTAGAGAGAAGAGAACAGGCATTTGTGTGTGGGAAATGTACTCAAAAACATTAGAAATCACAGGGGGAAGTTTTAGGGAAGTTTTAGAGTTTGGCTAGAGTATTAACTTTGGGGACTTCTCCAGGGTATGTGCCCAAGCCCCTTGGGAAGTTATTCAACACCCATGGAGAGGTGGGGGTGGGTCAGGGGCAGAGGGGGTAGAGAAGGAGGGAAAAGAAAGATGGACTCGTGCCCAGGCCCCCTATAGATCTGTAGAATCAGAACCTCCTGAGTTCAGCTGAGCACTTGTGCCTGGGGATCCTCAGGTGACAATGATATGCGCCCTGCTTAAGAACCACCGCACTCATCCACCTGGAGCCTTCTAGCAAGGAAGACACCGAGGCCCTGATTTAGTGCCATTTCCAGTTAGAAATAAGCTTCTAAAAGAGCTAACATCGCCCCAGCTGGTTTTTCTCAGTGGATAGAATGTTGGCCTATGGACTGAAGGATCCCAGGTTTGATTCTGGCCAAGGGCACATGTCGGAGTTGTGGGCTTCATCCCCAGTAGGGGGCATGCAGGAAGTAGCCGATCAATGGTTCTCTCTCATCATTGATGTTTCTATCTCTCTCCCCATCTCTCTTCCTCTCTGAAATCAATAAAAATATACTTAAATGCGTACATACGTACAAGAATTAACATCTATCAGGGCCAGGTGCATGGAAACTATGAAAGTTCTGAAGTTGTTTTATTTTTTTATTTTTATTTTTTTTAAATATATTTTATTGATTTTTTTACAGAGAGGAAGGGAGAGAGATAGAGAGTTAGAAACATCGATGAGAGAGGAACATCGATCAGCTGCCTCCTGCACATCTCCTACTGGGGATGTGCCCGCAACCCAGGTACATGCCCTTGACCGGAATCGAACCTGGGACCCTTCAGTCCGCAGGCCGACGCTCTATCCACTGAGCCAGACCGGTTCCGGCAGTTGTTTTATTTTTTAAAGTGAATGCTGCCCTGGCCATTGTGTGGCTCAGTTGGTTGAGTGTTGTCCCGTGTACCAAAAGGCTGCTGGTTTGATTACTGGTCAGGGCACAGGCCCGAGTTGTGGGCTCAATCCCAGGTGGGAGGTGTGCAGGAGGCAGCCAATCAATGTCTCCTTCTCACATTAATGTTTCTTTCTCTCTCTAAAAAAAAATCAATAAAAACAACTTTAAGGAGTGAATGCTGATTGCAGCTTACAGGGCTTATTTTACTGTTCTCTATTCTGAAGATTCCTATAGGTAATAGGATCAGAATATCCCAATCTCCAAGCATGCTCTTCAACATTTATTTTACATATTATACATAGAAATACTATTTGATCTGGCAGACAGTTGCTTCAACAGCTGCCAAATAATCAGTGGACTAGAAAGAGCAGAAGCTTCTGGGTTAGGCAGGGCTGGCCTCAACCCTACCAGCCCCACCCTCCACACCAACCTGAAGCTCCAAAAAGTCTACCATCTTACCTGAAAAAAATGTAAGAAACCTACTTCACAGGGCCCTAATGAAAATTACAAAAAATGTTATATGGTGCCTAACACAACACCTCTGTAAGTACTCAATTAATGGTAGTTTTACTCCCTCCCAAAATTGTATCACCGTATTTCTTAAAATAATAAAGTTTTACCCTAGCTGGTTTGGCTCAGTGAATAGAGCATTGGACTGCAACTGGAAGGTCCCGGATTCGATTCCAGTCAAGGGCACATATCTCAGTTACAGGCTGGATCCCTGGCCCTGGTAGGGGTACGTTGGGGAAGGCAACCAATCGATGTGTCTCTCACATTGATGTTTCTTTCTCTCTGTCTCTTTCCCTTCCTTCCACCCTCTCTAAAAAATCAATGGGAAAAGACTAAGGACACAGACAATAGGGTGGTGAAGGCAGGGGTGGGTGGGTCGGTGGGGGCGGGGCAATGGTGCTAAAAGAGGTCAATGGGGGGGGGAAGACAAATGTAATACTTTTAACATTAAAGTTTTTTTTTTTTAATCAATGGGAGCCCTAGCTGGTTTGGCTCAATGGATAGAGCATTGGCCTGCGGACTGATGGGTCCCGGGTTCAGGGTACATGCCAGGGTTGCAGGCTCGAGCCCCAGTAGGGGGCATGAAGGAGGAAGCCAATCAATGATTCTCTCTCATCATTGATGTTTCTCTCTTTCCCTCTCCCTTCATCTATGAAATCAACAAATATATATATATATATATATATATATATATATATATATATATATTAAATCAATGGGAAAAGAAAATATCCTTGGGTGAGGATTAACAAAACAACCCAAAAAATCGGTCTATGACCAGAACTCATGGGGTCTTAAATTAGATATAAATTTTTAGGTGTTAGCACAAAGCTTTCAGAAATGCCCTGATCGATTATATCTCAATTTTAAAATAAACAAACAAAAAGGCAGGGGCTTGCTAACAGCACATCACCACAATTGCCTCTGGAGGGCATCAGCTTAGGGTGTCATCACCTTCAAAATCCTAACAAAGAACAAGAATGGAGTGATGCTAGGGAAGGTGCATGCCTTTGGTGCAAGAAGCATGCACCAAATGCAGCCACATGAAAAGCAGCAGCAAGACACTGAGAAAGGGTAAAAAGAAGTGGTTGGTTATAACAACACCCTGCAATGTTTATAGCTCATAGGAAATGACTGAAAGTTCACAAAATCCAAGATAGCAAATCAGACATATTGGCTTCATTTTATAGATGATAAAGACAAGGCCCAAGTTACAGACCTTGTACAGGGCAGGGCCAGACTAGAGCCGGAGCCAGAAATCATTCCCTTCATAATATCAGCTACACAAAGCAGTCAGGGTGGTGAACACTTACACTGGCAATAGGCAGTGTAGAGGGTCCTATTTTTGGAGTAGGATCCTGGGAGGGCTTAGCTTGCTCTGGAATAGCACTTTCCACGATTTATAATGACAAAAGCATGAACATATACAGTATTTACACCAGCCCTTCACAACTAATCATTAAATGTTTATGTTGTGCAAGGAACATTTCTAGGCTCCTCCTGGCCAGGCAAAATGAAACCTGGCAGATGGAGCCGGGTGTCTGAGAGAAAATAACACAAATCTGCCTTAAATCTAAGTACAGGATCCCTCTCAAAATACCAGTTACACAATTGGTAGGAGATTTAGTAATATGCAAGACCTACTCCTTGTTTTTATGAGACAGTAGAAAAGTAACTAATTTTGACAGAAATGCACTTTCCAAGACTGCACAAAGCAACCAGTGGCAATGACAATAAATCATTACTTCAATGTAATTAAATACTGTAAATCTAAACATAAGGCTTCAGAGCCCCAAACACAATTCTCTTATTTCAATTAATACTCAGCAAAGGGAGGGGGGCCCACACCACCACATTACCCCTTCCATGGGGCAGCAGGATGTTAGCTATCTTACACTTACTTATTATTACAACTAAAACACTTAGCTATTCTCATAACTCTATGAAGATTCTATTATCCCTTTTGGGAAATCAGGACTCTGAGGCTCAAGGTGAAGACACAAACGAGCCCAGCCAGCATGGCTCAGAGGTTGAGCATCAACCTATGAACCAGGAGGTCTTGAGTTCGATTCCCGGTCAGGGCACATGCCTGGGTTGCAGGCTCAATCCCCAGTGTGGTGCGACCAGAAGGCAGCCAATCGATGATTCTCTCTCATCACTGATGTTTCTATCTCTCCCTCTCTGAAACCAATAAAAATATATTTTTTAAAAAAGTTACAAACGAGTACAAGGCATAAATCAAGATCTGACCTCAGGTCCCTGTTATCTGGCCACAGCACACTACTCCAGGGAAGTGGGCCACTTGTCAAGAAGTCATTCTAGCCCTAACCAGTTTGGCTCAGTGGACAGAGCATCAGCCTGCAGACCAAAGGGTCCCAGGTTCAATTTCAGTCAAGGGCATGTACTTTGGTTGCAGGCTTCTCCCCAGCTCAGATCCTGGTTGGGGCTCGTGCAGGAGGCAACCAATTGATGTGTTTCGCTCACATCCATGTTTCTCTCTGTCTTTCCCTCTCTCTCTCTCTTCTACTCTCCCTAAAAATCAATGGAAAAAATATCCTCGGGTGAGGGTTACAAAAAAAGAAAAAAAGAAGAAGTAATCCTAAGAAGACATGACTGAAAAGGACACTCAGCACAGGTTTTAAGGAATGCACTACTTACACACCTCTGGACAAGTGTGGCTCAAGCCCTAGCTGAGCAAGCTCTCATGCCAGCTCCATACAGTCAGCTTCCAGCCAGCAGCCTCACTCCTGGAATGTATTTGTCTCCATCTGAACATGGGTGTGCCTGGCATTCTTGACCTACATCATACACTCGAGTCCAGCACCCCTCACCAGACTGAGAGCTCTTCCAGGGCTGGGACACAACCTCTTCAAGTCTGTCCACACTAGAGCCAATGACACAGAGCCTCCAACAGGACAAGTGAGAATGGCGACTGCTTGTGTAAACCATGTGATGGATCCTTCTGTCAGTTTAGTTGTGCTGATTTTTCTTAACAGGTACACTAGTATGAAGCAGACATTTACAAACCATCTCAGAAAGGGCTCAGAGGCTGTTCAACTTCTGAGTTATATACAACCTCTCCCTCACCCCATGACAGTCAGGTAGCATCCCCTCTTAGAAAGACAGAGAGTAGCACCATGAGCACTGGCTTTAACATTAGTGACTACTTTGATGGCAAATGTACCTCCTGGGCTAGGACTTGTCAAAACAGTATTTCACTTCTCTGCTGAACTATGCTAGTAAGAAGTACAAGCAAAGTCTGACAAGATAGCCCAGCCTGTTTGGCTCAGCAGTTGAACATAGACTCATGAATCAAGAGGTCACTGGTCAGGGCACTTGCCCAGGCTGTGGGCTCAATCCCCAGTAGGGGGCATGTAGGAGGCAGCCAATTGATGTTTCTCTCTCATTGATGTTTCTATCTCTCCCCTCCCTTTCCTCTCTCA